CAGGTCGAGGCTGCGGTGGCTGGGAGTGGCCACTGCACTCCAGTCTGGGCGACAGAGTGAGACTCCAACTCAAAAAAAAAAAAAGAAAGAGTGAAAGATGCAGAGAGAAAAAAGAGGGGCATGTCAGAGAGAGAAACAGGAAGATGGAAGGAGGGAAGAAGATGGAAGGGGAGGAGGGGAGGAGGGGAGAGAGAGAGAGGGAGAGAGACACTATAATCAAAAGTCAGATTAGCCAGATGTGGTGGTACACGCCTATAGTCTCAGCTACTCAGGAGGCTGAGGTGGGAGGATCACTTGAGCCCAGGAGGCTGAGGCTGCGGTGAGCCGTGATCTTTCTACTGTACTGCAGCCTGAGAGGCAGAGACACCAACAACAAAAAAATTTTAAAAAGGAGGAGGAGGAGGAGGAAGAGGAGAGAAAAGAAAAGAAAAGAAAAGGAGACACCGATAGCAAGGGACTCAGGCTCTCTCTCTGAGGCAGAGAACCACTGGGCCAAGGCTGCCCTGCATACCCACCTGGGGCAGGGTGTACCCTCGGAAGCAGGTGGTCCGCATGAGGGCACGGGGCACTCCCATGGGCACCAGCGCCAGCAGCCGCTGCGCCTCGTGCAGCACTGCGTCGGTGTATGGGAGGCGGACACGGTCCCCCAGGCTTGCTGCCCGGCCGGCCTCCAGCTCCTGTGCCAGCTCCTCGTGCACACGCTCTGCAGGCAAGAGGGGCAGCAGGTGCCAGAGGCGGGTGGGGCCCTGGGATCCTCCTCAGAAGCCCTGTCTTCTTGGGTATCCCCAGCCCTCGCTGAGCCTGGAGCCTGCACATCCAGGGTGCTGGGCATTCCATCCACCCTCTTAATTCCCACAGCCACCCTATGAGGTAGGTACCATAATCTAGCCCCAATTCCCAGATAAGGAAACGGAGGCCCAGAGAGCCCAAGTTACTTGCCTAAAGTCACAGATGACTCTTCCTCCAATGCCACAAGGCCCCCGACTTCTGTTTCTCAGGTCAGCCCATCCCTCTGGCCCACAGTATCTGCCTGACCCTAAAATGCTGGGTCCTCAGGGCTCATTCCCAGACTTGCCTCTTACCCAGGCACCCCCCCCATCATGGCGACTTCAGCTCCTGCCTGTGCTCTGATGACCCCAATTTTTCATCTCTAGTCCTGCTGGGGTGCTTTGCGGTCTCTTAGATGCCTTCGCCAGGGTGGCCCCAGACTCATCATCAAATCGCTCCAAACTGGCCTCAACACCTCCCTCAGTCCAGCTCCTCAGCTCCTGCCCCTATGTCAGGATGGCCCCAATATCCCCCAGCTCCCCAGACCTGTCCTTGGGCACCTCCCGCCTTTGTCTCCCACAACCTGCCTATACTGCCCCATCTTCCCTCCCCATAGCCTGGCCCAGCTCTGTCCTTTCTGGTCTCCTCACATCTTCTCTTACTTTTTACAACACACATCTTCAGGACAGCAAAAGGATTTTTCTTTTCTTGAGTCGGGGTCTCACTCTGTCACCTAGGCTGGAATGTGGTGGCATGATCATAGCTCACCATGACCTCAACCTCCTCCTCCTGGGCTCAGGTGATCCTCCTGCCTCCGCCTCCCAAGTACCTGGAACTACAGGCACGCACCACCAAGCCCAGCTAATTTTTTGATTTTTTGTAGAGACGAGGTCTCGCCAAGTTGCCTGGGCTGGTCTCGAACTTGTGGGCTCAGGCAATCCACTTGCCTTGGCCTCCCAAGGTGCTGGGATTGCAGGCTGAGCCAAGCCCGGCCTCAGATTTTTTAAAAATGCCAATTTGACCTTGCCCTCCCCTGCTCAACATCGTTCTATGGCTCCCCATGCTCAGGATAAGGCACGTAAGGTTAACAGCAAGGCGACAAGGTCCTGTGGACGTCTCCTGCCTTGTCTTTCACTATGCTTCATACTGCAACCGGCATACCAACTTCTTGCTCCTCAGATACCCTGAACATCATGCTCCTTCTCACCTTCAGGATGTGACTCAGCCTGTCTGTTCTGTCTGCACACTCTTCCCTCTCGAACCCTCACTTCTGTTCCCAAGGCGTGGTTGGTGGAAAAGGCTCTTACTTTGGACCTGAGGATATTTCATCAGGAGCAGGAGGGTGTAGCGGACCGTGGCGCTGACTGTCACTGTCCCGGCAAACAGCAGATAAATGACTGTCATCAGCAAGTTCTTCTCGGTGAATTCTGTGTTTGGGGTTTGTTGTTCCTAGGAGAAGCCAGGCAGAGGGACTCAGAGAACACAGGCTGTGGGGCTCAGGAAACTAAGGTCCAGGAAAGCCAGACTTGGAGTCAGAACAGCGGGTTCATGCTTTGTCAGAGAGTGGAAATAAATGTTTGGGAAGATTGGGAAGTGGACTCCAGATATTAGTTCTCTCTGGTTGAGATGTTTTTAAAAATGTAAGAGAATGACCACGAACAAAAAGAAAACAGGTGTTAGTGAAGATGTGGAGACAATGAAACCCTTGTACGAGGGGGAATCCCCCCAAACCGAAATTATCTTTTGGAGGGCAGGCCCCTTGTAGTACACTTGGAATTTGTTCCTCTGGATCAGATGGTCAACCCAAGTTTTTGTTTGTTGGTTGGTTTGTTTGAGTTGGAGTCTCACTCCGTTGTCCAGGCTGGAGTGCAGTAGTATGCACACGGCCACCCCAGCGTCGACCTGCTGGGCTCCAGCGATCCTTCTGCCTCAGCCTTCCAAGTAGTGGGAACTACAG